ACTACCGTTTTTGCTTCTTATAGAATTTCAAGTGTAAATATTTTAATATTAGCTAGACTTAATGTTGATACAACTGCAGCTGTGAAGTTGCATGTAAAAAACTGCACTGAACGCAATTATCCCTGTCGTTTAGTGAATGACTCGCACACTTTTGGATGTGATTTCCTCTGCGTTTGACAATATAACAATTTCCGGTAACAACTACTCGTACGTATCTTTTAAATCTCTAAACCTACCCTACCCCCCTCATTTACTACTTCTTCATGGACTCGAATGACATTTAATCGATACCAACACCACACAATGCGGGTCAACTTCCTCATGCTAAAGAAAGCCTCTTGAGAGAGAGATCTAAGAGGGAAGGAGCCTCTCATGTCAATAGGTTCCCCAGCATCGCGGTTGGATTGGGTTACTATTTGGTGATGTTATATGTTCATTAATTAAAGTTCGCATAATTCTTGCTCTTTCCAGATTAGAAACTTCGTTTAACATTCATCCCCAGTAATGACAAATGTACTGTGTTTGCTTGGAAACGAAACATCCAGAGTATTTGTAATCATTCAAGTGTCAAGCGTACAATGCTGTTTGATAAGAGTGATGTGAAATCCCTTAATAATCTCGGATGTGAACATTTTTCATACATCATTGTTTTAAATTTGATTGAAAATTCATTAATGTTAAACAAAGTTTGAGGCATTCCTTGCAACAATTTAAATAAGCGCTTGCTATCAAGTTGGCTATAGAATCGAGACTAATTAACATTCACTGAACAAGCATAAGGACTCATGCCGCTCTCCACTGACGCGCGACACGAGCTTCCCTATAAACGCGTGCAATGAGTTGCTCAATGAGAACAACTGCACATTTCCTAGTGGCAGACGAATCGCTGATTGACATGACGAGTGAATGACATGCGCGTGCGTGGCTGGGAGCTGAAGACCATGAACATCCATCAACCAAGACGACGCAGGCTGAGAACGTAAAGTGGGAAGCTGTGGAAGAGAATGGGAGTAACGTTGAGAAAGTCGTACGTAAAAACAGTTTCGCAGTAACTTGAAAGATAAAAATTAACTTAGAAAAATTAATAATTGAGTGAATTATTATTTTCTACAACTAAAAAAATTTCTCGAGTCAATTTGGGGTTTATCAGTTAATGTTCGAAACAAATGGATAAACTTTTTAGCTTTCCGAATTGATTCCTTTCGCTATGGAGTATGGATATCCAAAACCTAGTATCATATAAATGATGAAACACAAAAAATTAAAAACTACAATGTAACACAACAACTCTTAGCGGTCACAACTGTTCATTGTTAAAAATGTACAGTTTACTTCATTTAATTTCATAAATGAATTTTTATATGGTGGTAGTCTATTTTCTGTTGTGGCATGTAGCTCTGACGGACTATGGTCGAATACTAAAAGGCAGATTATACGTTACGATTGCACTTTTGAAATAAGGGCACGAATAACGCAATACAATGTCTGAAACATATAAGAAGCATTTTCATTGCCACCTTGTAGAAATAAAAAAAAACGCACGACAAAATTCGAGTTAGTATAAGTAAGGAAAATCGTTTTCAGCGAGTGTGTTGTAAGCTAACCCACTCAAGCGGTAAAGTAAGTCGTTGGACTGAAGTATTAGTCTTAAAATAAACTTGTGAACGTGGGTAGTAGTAAACTGTCCATGTAACTTAAGCTCAACCGCAGCGTGTACGCCGACTTAAAGAACATTTCTCGACTTATACCGTCGTGTTATGGACCCGCGATACGGTGCAGTTTTTATACGAAGCACCTCTCACCAGAGTGGCTCTATAGTGAAGTATAACTGTACTGCGATTAGGGAATTCTAAACACAGCCGAAATGTGATCTAAAGTCCTCAGAATAATTATCAACTATTTTGATTTATTCTTCGCAAATATTCTAGTGAATTTGTCTTCGTACAATTTTTGTATTCGTACAAATTTTGCAGTTGCCCCAGTTTCTGTTAAAATGGTTATTTCTGTATTAATTTAACCACTTGAAGGCTGTAAACTTAAGGGACGCGAAATACTAGCAAAGCAGCTCTTTGTGGCATTCATTCGAGAATAGAGATCTCGTTTCAGGAAAGGCCAGATTTTTGGCCGCATTCACATGATAATTTTCATCGAATGTCTAACTGAAGTCACGCGAACTCGTAAATAATGAGATTTTAATTTGAACACTAATTCCAAGAATAAGATTCTAGATTTATTTTAAATTTGACTTCTGGAATTCTAACGCAATTATGATTTTGTTCATGAGAAATCTAGTTTCAGTCATCATGTATATAAAGATTGCTTTCTTCATACCTAATATGCATCTGATTGGTGTTCACTATATTTTGCTTGTTATGAATTGCTTAAATGAAAATACTACAGTGTCACTGCATAGTATTTTATTATTCTAGAAGTCAATGTTCATCATATTTTTTAGCACAACTTAATAAAGAAGTTTCATGTCATGTAAAATTGTGTTAATTAGGATCGATGCTTGGTCAGGTGTGATGCGTGAAACTGCGCGATCAGAGCAAGCCTCGGCAGACACGCTTGTATCGCGCTTAGTATCTCTTTTACTTGTCGTCTCCAGTGGCAGACTGAGACTAAAATAACTCATGCTCAAGAAGCATGCCACATTGTTGAGACTTTTTTATCTGCCTTTCCTGTACTTCTGCCGTGGCTTGCAGACAATAAAACTAATGCTCACTGAGCGCTAGCTGTTTTTTCATGTCTGGCCCTTGATATCTGAATTGTCATCTTGGTTGCCCAGTGACTGAATCTATGATCATTTTAGCCCATAAATATTTGTTTTCTGTGAAGTTTAACGTTATGGTAATTTTCCCTTCAGATGAGTGAAATATTTACTGAGATTGCTTTTATAAAGCTTATTCCTCGCGGCATTTTTAAACCCGTAAATAATGCAGCTCGAAATGTTCAAACATTGAAGCGAAGAATAATTAAATGTAAGTCTGAACACATGAAAGGTTGCGCCATGCAGCGCAGATGCTAAATATTGATTCAAATGCAGTACACATGTCACCGCATGCATGGCCCCGCACTGTAAACTGTGTGGACAGAAGAGAGGGAGACTTCCCTCTCTTCTGCCCCCGACCCTCGCTCTCTGCCACAGTTTACTGACACAAGAGGGTGGGTGTGCGCTTTAAGCTTTCGTATCGTTAGTGAGATTTTGGCTTATGGGTGAGATTTTGGCTTATGGGTGAGATTTTGCATGTACTAACGAAGTTTAAAAAATAATAATTTCGTTGTGGCTGCATACATACTCGTATATGATCTTTTAGGTGCTGTTGGTTGGCAATAAGATACCTGAAACATGCTTTTGAATAATATTTGTTGGTTGATATATTTCGAGTAAAGTTATTATAGACGCGTCTGTAGAGACCTTTTGATAGTAATATTTTCAAATTTGGTTCGCTTCGTTCACATATATTTCAAATTACGAGCTTCAGTGAACGGATCCGTACATTGTCATTCTTAATTATAAGTGAAAGTTTTGCTTGAATTGTTTCCTGAATTTTTGTCTTACAAATTTAGCATCGATTTCATTAAGTTTAGCTTAAAGAATGTAAAGTAAGGCATAATATTCACCGTCCCTCTGCGTGTCACGGTAAATTCTTCAGTGTCACTCAGTAACGGACACTAATGGTAGCGTCGAGGGTCTCACTCGGCGCAGATTGAGTCCTCATAATGAAGGGAGGTTGAGAGCGTTGCGCTCCCATTAATGTGTCGACGCTGTGGCGAGGTCAATTTATCTCCATCGCACCTATAAACACAAATCAATCAATACACAATTTGAAGAACAAAAATATCTGCATTTATTGATACATTTCTGCCTAGACAATTCGCAACAAATTTCTATTGTATTACGTCGAACCTGTGTTAAACCAAGAGTTATCGGTTGAATATTACAGATAGTGTTCACCGTGTGTCATCATTTCAAACATCGGTCGTGTGGAAGTCAAAATGGGACTTCAACCCTCAGGATATAACGTTAAGAAGTTATCATGAATACATGAGTTTGTTAGCAGAAAATAACAGCACCAGAACTATACCTCAAGATTATTCAGGTAGCAAAGCCGACGGTATGTTTCATCTATAGTATAAAATTCGTCGAATATTTCTCAAGACGGGAGGGGGAGATAAAAATTCTGGTGCCATCCTTTTTCTCCTGATCTAATCGAACATTTAGATTTCAGCCATGCTTTTGAAACCAGCGTCTTTTTCTGCTTAACGAGATCGTCGGTCGACTTGAGATATGACAGACAATGCTATGCAATCACAAAATAATGCTGTGCAAGCTATGCAATATGTTCCATGAATAAGATAAATATATTACTTCACGAATGGAGACTTAAATGGCATTACTGCCACCTCTCAAGTAAGCTATTTTAGGAAACATTTACTCACGCCTTCGTCGCTCGCGTCTGCCTTCCCCGGCGTCGTACCGGTCACCTCTTGAGCAGCGTGAGCAGCAGCGTGAGCAGCAGCGTGAGCAGCAGCGTGAGCAGCAGCGTGAGCAGCAGCGTGAGCAGCAGCGTGAGCAGCAGCGTGTGCGCGGTTTCAACAGCTCGTGTAAAAAAGTTTGACTATTCATGTCAGTAACGTGCTGAAGAATCTATCGATATGACGTTCGGGAAAAGACTTTTCATCTTAAATAATTGAGAACCGAGATGTAAGTTGACAGACAAATATTATCTCTCTTATTATGCCAGAGTTATTTATTTCCAAAGGCATTTATGAAAAATCGAAAAAAATTGTAGAAAAATTTATCATCTCTTTAGAGGGGACAAGTTTTCTAGTCCAGCTCAATCGTCAATTCAAAATCCTAGAACGTTTTCTATTAAAAGTAAATGGTGAATTTTTTCGGTTACTCTCTCTGCTTTTAAATCTTTGGTAAATTTACGATTTAAGCAACCAAGTAACGCTAAGAAAAGTTGTATTTAGCTTCGTGCGTTTTTTTACAGCGCGAATGCATCAGCATCCACATCGGTCAGGCTGGAGTGCAGATGGGCAACTCTTGCTGGGAACTGTACTGCCTCGAGCATGGCATCCAGCCCGACGGCCGCATCAGTGAGTGCCACACAACACAATCCACGTGCAATATATTATGTATTCTCACAATTAATATTGAAAATAAAGTTGCTTTTTAAGCACATGTGAATATTTTATGCTGATGATATTATTTCGCGAATTTTCTTAAATGAAGACTCTTTTTCCGTGGGTTTCAACATTTTGTGTAATTAATACAATCCCGTGAAGTTGTGACAGTTAGTTGATTTATTTCGAATTTCCATTTTACTTGGTTTAATTGTTTTGTTAATTCATGTATTCGAGAAGGCTTAGAATCTATATACATAATACATATACATCAGGCGATGACCTGGTGGGGGATGAGAACATGTACACGACGTTCTTCCAAGAAACTGGCCGTGGCAAATACGTGCCCAGGGCCATCTACGTCGACCTCGAGCCCACCGTCGTAGGTAAGTAAATTTTCCTAAAGCATGCAATTCATACAATGGGGACATTTCTCATCGTTTCAGTTTACGCTTCATTTAATCAGCCAAATGGAAACTCGGAAAGTATATACTTGTTTCGTATATACTTACGTACAGTGTCTATATACACGTATATACTTAAGTATATACGTGTGTATACATATACGTATTTCGGTACTGAATTTTGCAAATATTTTGGTAGTTATTTCGGTATACATTCAAAATTCACTAAATAAAAATAAATACGTTTCAGACACGGTACGCACTGGACCATACCGCCAACTGTTCCACCCTGAACAGCTGATCTCCGGTAAGGAGGACGCGGCTAATAACTACGCGCGCGGTCACTACACCATTGGCAAGGAGCAGGTCGACCTCGTGCTCGACAAGGTCCGCAAGATGGTCGACGCCTGCAGCGGTCTTCAGGTCAGCAATTTGGTCATAAATTGAAATTATCAATTTCATTCGAAATATCAACATGACACTTGTTTAACTTGGTTCATATAAATAATTATAAAATTCAATCGAAATCTCAAGGGCCATCTACGTCGACCTCGAGCCCACCGTCGTAGGTAAGTAAATTTTCCTAAATTATGTAATTCATATATAGGGACATTTCTCATTGTTTCACTTTACGCTTCATTTTATCAGCTAAACGGAAACGTGCAAAGTTCTTGCATATACGTGTTTCGGTACTGAATTTTGCGTATGTTTGGCAATTCTTTCGGTATAGAATAGATGCGAATAGAAGTGTCGGCATTGAAGAAATAGGCCCATGGCCTGATGCCGATTCTTGAACTTTTCGTGACTTTGATTCACAAGGGATTCTGCCTTTGGAACCCGATACATTCAAAATTTACTAAATTAAAATACGTTTCAGACACGGTGCGCACTGGACCATACCGTCAACTGTTCCACCCTGAACAGCTGATCTCCGGTAAGGAGGACGCGGCTAATAACTACGCGCGCGGTCACTACACCATCGGCAAGGAGCAGGTCGACCTCGTGCTCGACAAGGTCCGCAAGATGGTCGACGCCTGCAGCGGTCTTCAGGTCAGCAATTCTGTCATGAATTGAAATTATCATTTCATTCCGAAATCTCAACATGACACTTGTTTAACTTGGTTCACATAAATAATTATCAATTTCATTCGAAATATCAACGTGACACTCGTTTACCTTGGTTCACACTTATTTACGGCTTGGTTCATATAAATAGTTATCAATTTCATTCGAAATATCAACATCACACTTGTTTACCTGGGTTCATATAAAAACGATGATTACTATAAATTTCATTTAATTTCATCTCATTATAAGCAATTAGGCTTAAAAAGTTATTCAAAATATTAATTACCGAATTTTGTGCAGGGGTTCCTAGTGTTCCACTCGTTCGGAGGGGGCACAGGCTCTGGCTTCACGTCGCTGCTCATGGAGAGACTCTCCGTAGACTACGGCAAGAAGAGCAAACTGCAATTCACCGTATACCCCGCGCCGCAGGTATACGCTCATCTTTCATCTCCTAACTCATCTTTAATTCTCATTCATATTTCAATAATCTAAAAACTAAAAATATTAACCGTATACCCCGCGCCGCAGGTATACGCTCTCTCAAACTCTCGGCTCATGGTTAATTCTCATTCATATATCAATAATCTAAGCACTATAAATCCACATTACTAATATATAATATATATGAATATATTATATACTATATACCACTATATAGTGGTATAAACTAAATATACCACTATAAACACTCATAATAAATCCACATGTAATTCACATTCATATATCCACATCCTCTATCACTATCATTTATATTTAAAACTATAATTTATATTTTCAAGCTATCATTTATATTTCAAAACTATCATTTATAGTTTAAAACTATCATAATTATTTTAAAACTATCACTTATATTTTAAAACTATCATTTATATTTTAAAACTATCATTTATAGTTTAGAACTATCAGTTATATTTCAAAACTGTCATTTATAGTTTAAAACTAACCCACGACTAATTCCTATATCCTTTATTCCTATAGGACTTAATCCACTATTATCCTATACTCCATTATTACCCCCACGACTAAGTCCTTTATCCTCTAAATAATCAATATTTATTTCAACAATCGTGGCCTATACGAATAAGAACTAAATAGATCTACTGTTCAGATCTGCACCGCAGTAGTGGAGCCCTACAACTCCATCCTGACGACGCACACGACGCTGGAGCACTCGGACTGCGCCTTCATGGTTGACAACGAAGCCATCTACGACATCTGCAGGAGAAACCTCGGCATCGAGCGCCCCTCCTACGAGAACCTCAACAGGATGATCGGCCAGATCGTGTCCTCCATCACCGCCTCACTCAGGTCAGTTGTGGTGGTCGGGCTGGAATTGGCCTTTTTGGCCTTCTTTTTAAAGTGGCCTTTTTTCAACGGGTTGACAAGTTAGACTGGTGACGAATGTGGAGTTTTATAGCTAGAATTAATTCGAGGTTGTCTCTGATGTTATCATCAGACGCTACGTAAAACGTAAATGTGGAAGTCGTTTTTTAAAGCGTTCGTATGTAATGAGTGATGTCTAGGAATACCTTTAGAAATGCAAAATTATTTGATTATTTTTATTTTTTCACCATAATAAGTTCTGGCTCGATCTCCGACTCAAGTACCATCAGCACAGTTACATTATATAGCAATTCACGTACGGTACCTAATACCGGGTGTTCTCAATCTAAAATTAAATTTAATTAGAAAATATACAATATTTTCAATTAAGAATAATTTAATTAAGTATACAATTGCTATAATTGTTATAAATGTTAATCTCTCACAGGTTTGACGGTGCTCTGAACGTTGACCTGACGGAGTTCCAGACGAACCTGGTACCGTATCCGCGTATCCACTTCCCTCTCGTCACGTACTCGCCCGTCCTGTCCGTCGAGAAGGTAAGTTACTTTTTCTGTTCGAAAAATCGCATTAGAACGGTCTTTTCGCCATTTAGCGGCCGACCGGCACGTAACAAAGCTTCGTGTTGCCGTTTTTTTATTTAACACAAGAAACGCGTACAAAAGTAAAAAAATATATAACTCAATACTCACTGCAGTGAGTGACAGGGAGCGCATTTTCTCGTCGACGAAAACGTGAAGTCACGGACGGACAGACAGACAGACGGACATGGCGAGCACAATAGGGCATTTTTTCCATAAATGAGAAAATGCGCTAAAAACGGCAAACTGTTTATTTCCACGCGGCTGCCGGCCATTATAACGCCCGTCAGACCGTTTTTGCACGGTTATTTCAAGCAGCGTTGTTGCGTTAAGAATACCACTGTTGAATCCTCGTATTGATTTTAAGGTTAAATTTCTTGTGTTACTTATGTTCATTTCACTACAAAAGTTTCTTTAATTTAGCTAAATTGTACCAAATATCTGTGCGCAAATATTATAGAAACTGCTTTATGTCATCAATTCTCTCAGCGTGATAATCGTTTCCTTCCTTGGCCTATTGATTTTTATCTGAAAGAATTACTTAAAATTAAACTTTCCACTTATTCATACAAATCGAATTAACTATAACTCGAATATTGATTTATCTATAAGATGGATTATCCATTTATACCTTTCTATGTAGCATTTTACACATGTCCGCTCAATTACGCGAGCCCCTCTGAATACGTGAAATTTCTACAGGCCTACCACGAGCAGCTGACTGTGGCAGAAATCACCAACGCTTGCTTCGAGCCTGCCAACCAGATGGTGAAGTGTGATCCACGGAGAGGTGGGTATTAATTATGACATATCAAAGAGCAGGCATAGAAATTGTTGAATTCTCTATATTCATTCTGAATTCTCTATATTCATTCTAAAGTCTAAACCATGACATCATACCGCAAACGTTTCCCTTTCTTGATAAAATTGAAAGCCTTTGCAACTTTAAAAAATCTTAATCCGTGTGGATATTTTTACTTCACTCCTTGTAGTGCAATAATATAATATTTTATCGAAAATAACCGGTATTGTTAATAATTTTAATTTATTCGATAATTAAAAAGAATTTTTGAAATACAATTCGTTCATCTGTGTGATCACAACCTTCAGAGATCATTCTCATGACGTATGAAATGTACTGTGGATGTGCAGGCAAGTACATGGCGTGTTGCCTGCTGTACCGCGGTGACGTCGTGCCTAAAGACGTCAACGCCGCCATCGCCACCATCAAGACCAAGCGCCAAATCCAGTTCGTGGATTGGTGCCCAACTGGCTTCAAGGTACGTGCCCACACAGCTTGGTATCTATTGCCTCATATCTTAAAAATACTAGCTGAATGCAGATTTTTAATGAAATTCATCCCCAATTAAATATTGTTTTATAATGGTTATCAAAATCTTTCTGACGGCAAATATTGCAATCTGAAAACTTTTCTCTTGTCCAGAAAATACTAGCTGGATGCTGTTTTTAATTGAAATTCGTCCCCAATTAAATACTGTTTTACTGGTTGTCGAATATTTCATTTCCCCAGCTGTTGCCGTACATTGAAAGTGAATGATTTGTCCACATATAAAATCATTAATGATTTGACATTTATTGTCTTTGTATCCAAGTTAGCGACTAGAAGTCATTGGTGTCTTTTTCAAAACCTTTCTGGTTTTGATGCAGGTGTCTAAGTTAGCGACTGAAAGTCATTGGTATCTTTTCAAAACCTTTCTGGTTTTGGTGCATGTGTCTAAGTTAACGACTGGAAGTCATTTGTATCTTTTCAAAACCTTCCTGGTTTTGGCACAGGTGGGGATCAACTACCAGGCCCCGACGGTTATTCCTGGTGGGGACATGGCACCCACGCAGCGCGCCGTTTGCATGATCTCCAACACAACCGCCATCGCTGAAGCCTGGGCAAGACTTAACCACAAGTTTGATCTTATGTACAACAAGCGAGCCTTCGTACACTGGTGAGCATTCAAGGACTATACAGTGTATCTTACGGTGGTTATTCTAAGAAGTAGATTTTAGTCAATTAACTTCCTCCTTACCCAGTGATCGCTCAACACTATTTGTCCAATGATTGCGCACCACTATTCATCCAGCAATTGCTCACCACAAATTTTCCAGTAATTGCTCACCATTATTTATCCAGTGATTCTCACCACTATTTATCCAATTATTCCACCACTGTTTATCCAATCACCACTATTTATCCGCTTTCCTTCAATTGATCACTCACCACTGCTTATCATCTAATCGAACCCTCGGACCTCCTCCCTCAGGTACGTGGGCGAGGGCATGGAAGAGGGAGAGTTTGCTGAGGCTCGGGAAGACCTCGCTGCTCTGGAACACGACTATGAGGAGGTGGCGATGGACTCCACCGAACCTGAGGACGATGAACATGAATATTAAATGAGCGCTATCTAATCTCGCTCAAAATGGAATGCTTACGATGATCTTCGCCAAATTTTGCTAGAGTTTTAATTATTTCAACAGTTTAACTTCATCGTGGTATCGAATTTTACGTAAAATTTCACGTAAAACATCATTATTGTCTAATACCTGCATGCACACAATGCGCGGTCGACTACTTGATACGCTGGTTTGCGAATGCTCATTCGTGATTGCCCTCTTAAATGTTAAGATAACCGGCAACGTAATCCAAAGTTAAAAAATATAATAAAAAAGACATTTCTCGTAACATAGAATTTCTAGGTCTACAAGTTAACATATTTTTAAGTTTTCTGTGGAATTTCAAAACTGAAAAGACTGCGACACCGAAGATGCGATTATTCTTTGGTAAAAGAATAATATTTACATTTATTTATTTGGTGTCTTACAATCGTCTTCGTAACTCAAAATATGTTAATTGTAATGCACTGATTCTTTCTGCTGAACAAGGCTCATGATGCGGAGCTGTTGCTCCGCTATCTTATACTGAATGCCAGTTTAGACGTTAAGGATGATATTTTTATGAACTAAGAGTGCGTGTAGCGTAAGTTTATGTTTTACGGAGGCTGACATCTGTGCAATATTGAGATAATGTAACGCATTTTTTCAGTCACGGTTTTTTTGAGAGGAAAAACTTATGTTCGAAACCGACTATTTTTGTCTGGAAGCTTGCACCGCTTTCTCTTCTAGGGTCATTTTGCTGGTGTTGTAACCTATTATGCCAATATACGTGGTATCTTTAAACGCGAGGAAATATCTAACCGTAAGAACATAAGTTGTTCGTTATCCTAAGAATTTAGTTTAGCCAACTTTCAGCCTAACTTAATGAAACAGTTTTTATACTTTTATACTCTATGACCTTAGTGTGTAATGACGTGTTAACCATATTACTGTGCACTAAAAAATTATTTGTAACAAAATCATCGACTGTACTCGAAAAATGCTTCAGTAAATCATTTTCAGAAGCGTTTCTTTTACTCACATACCAACTCAGAATTTACAGGCCAGTAGCACTGGCATTTCCGCCCGACTCCAGGAAACGTCAATGAATAAACGCTAATTTTTAGACTGTCCTAAAGGTGTACTTCACTATATCGTCAAAGATGGTAGAAAAAAGAAATGACCGTTATTTTTAATTTATTTGTCAGACTACTGACGAATATTTCAACTTATATTCTATCCAATCTTTCCGTGCTTGAAAGCTGTCATGGATCACCTAACTTTAATGATGGTTTTTATAGCGATATTGATAAAAAAATCTGAAACTAAGTTTTGCATTCTATTGGACATAGCATAGGATACGTAGCAATTTGGGCCGTTGTGTGTCATGACATCATCGAGATGTAGTCTCTCCACTAGTGTTGCTCTCTCGCTGTGTCACGCCCGCATCATTAAATAATAGGGGACTTTGCTTTCCCTGAACTATTTTCCCGTACTTGATCATATAAATCATAATTATTCTTTGCAATACATAGATTATTTGACTGGCATCAAAATACTGCGTTAACAGTTTACCACACAATCACAGTTTAGTGACCAGGCACACCATAAAAAATGTCCGCTTTCAAGGAACACTTCAGCCTCTTGCAAATCGTTTACATGCTATAGAGGCAGAAAACAATAGACTGTAGAGTGTAGACTATAGAGGCACAAAACAATTTTTGACGTTGCGATGTGGCATCAAATCTTTCTTGAACCAAGTCAAGTTTCAGGCATAGCCTACTACTTCTACTTTTTTTACTCGGCACGTAATTATGCAATACATGAAGTGATCGATCACTACAGCGGAACGACGAGTCATTGTACATGTTACGTCATTGCGTCACCGACGCACGATATATCATGTCTGGGATGTCTGCGCTGACCTGTAGTAGCTGGCAAGCTAGGGACCTGAGAGCACATGCGTTCTGGAAATTTTCCCTGACGATCAATTTAAAGGAAAAATTCTATCCCTTGCAATGCAATCACTGTAATGTATTCTTATTTCTATTATTTCTGCTCTTATGAAGCATGATTGGAAGTAATTAAACTGAGTTCAGATAAATTAGCTTAAACTGCATGGCGACGAAGTATCCAAAATTAGAGCCCAATTTTTCCCTCTTTTGAAATTCTAATTCTGGAGAACGACGACTACGTTAACACTGTCTCCGGAATTTATTAGGAAATTTTTTGAATGCTCGAGGTTTTTTTTAATGAACTATAGCGGACATGGTGTGTTCTACGGTTACAAGTTTGCGACGGATTGTAAGTGTCAAATTCTAATAAGATAATAAAAGCTCAGACATAAAGTTACAGTAATGGGGAATAAAAAATTACGATAATATAATTTTAATAAAAATTATACAATTAGATTTTCAATATAGTTCAAGTAATATTGATTATTAAATAGAGTTTTATAGATACAACCTTTATTTCAAGAATCAATACAGTGCTTGTCATGTCTTGAGTGTATCGGACCTAACAACGCGAAGAAACAACCTCACCTGGAACAACATACCCTTAAAAACACTCATATGGCAACAGCCCAAGCCAGGACTCGCACACGGTAGAAATCACCCATTGTATAACCCATGCATACTATAATCACCTACGAACGATAGTAATCACCCAAGCTATGACACACGCACGCCAGGAATTACCCATGTCACAACTCACGCACACCAGGAATCACCCTCGCAAAGAACCTCACACACTAGGAATCATCCACGCTCTGATCCACGTACGCTTGGAATCACCCATGGCATAACCCACGCACGCTAGGAATCACCCATGGATAACCCACGCACGCTAGGAATCACCCATGGCATAACCCACGCATGCTAGGAATCACCCATGGCATAACCCACGCACGCTAGGAATCACCCATGGACACACACGCTAGGAATCACCCTCGCAAGGAACCACACACACTATAGGTATGTCCCACGGTTGTATCACTTATGCCATCTTCCCTCGGGTGAGAAGATTTTGTCCCGCATCTCATCGGCAAGGCAGGTCACCGTCGCACTGTTTTGCTTAGAATCGCCGTCGATAGTTTACCTATAATGATCAATGATCATCCTAGTAATAATTATGTATCGACTAGTGAATGATGGGCTAATAATGAATTTAGGTAGTAATAAAAAATTTTATATGTGAGTACTCAATTAGGTTGATATTTATTCGTAATTTCGAATATCTGACGCGTTCCATTTTTAGCGCATTTTCTCACTTATGGAAAAAGTAGCTATTGTGCTCGTCATGTCATGTATAGTATCGTGAGAAAATGCGCTCTCTGTCACTCACTGCAGTGAGTACTAATTTGATTTTTTGAAATTGTGACAACCACTTACCGTTTCCCAACAGATGAACGCAGCTGTTTTTACAGCCCTGGTGATGAACCTAATCAGCGGAAGCGAATCTCAGGAGCTTACAAGAAACACAAAACGCACGGAAAACGTAAAAATAATCGCAGGTTCTCGGAATCTCACAACAACTTCGTCAAGCAATAACACTTTTGGTATGAATAATGAAATTATAATTAGCTCCAGACACATGAATTGAAAATTTTTGGCCCGCTTTAAATAAAGAAATAAAAGCCCTACATTTGTTCTATCAGCGAAATACTTAACGTGCTCTTTTTCCCGTTTTGGTTTAATATCTGTGCTAATACACATCTTCTCAATAATAGTTTATCTACAGGGGCGTGCGGTGAATCAGTGGTGTTGGCAAGAGGACAATCCCGTCACTTTTCTTCTCCCAACTACCCTGAGAGGTATCCGGACAACGCACGCTGCTACTGGCTATTCGAAGTAAGATACACGTACTTGTGTATATATACTTTCTTCTGGAGTTCTATTGTAGCGCTCTGGAAACATGATTTTTAGATTGGCGCTCGTCTGTGAAGCAAATTCAGACTAAGCGATCCCAAACACGTTTCGCTTGAACTGTTTCTCAAGATGGCGTTTGGTCGATATAATACATATTTTAGCAGCACCTCCTTAGTGGAAATTTCTTAAACACTTACACAAATTACATGCCAAATGAACTGCCTCGCACAATTCAGTACAGGAGATTTTCCCGCACTAATTTAGCAAACTTATTAGATGGATCACACAGATTCTAAAAAATTACTAGTGTATTTGATTACATTTATAAAATGGGGCCTTATACCTGGCACCAAGGTTCGGGACGCATTCACCACCCTTGCCCTCCAGTGCAGTCAGTTTCAGCTCGCGCCGGTGCTGCTCTGCAACAAATTCCAGGACTTCTTGCTGGTCGAGGAACCCGCAACTGGAAAGGCTGCATGGTGAATACAGAGTAAATTTAATTAAATATTCATGAAAATTTAACATTTTTACTCATTTTGAAGTTCTGATTGGAGCCCGACGGTAGTGACGGAGTACGTTTTGCAATTGAACATGCGACCATCCTAGGACGCAAGACGCTCATTTGTGGCTTGTGAATTAATATGTTCTTATAAATTAACTGTTCGAAAAATTATAGTACGAGTACTTTGAAGAAACCGTTCTCGCTGAACAATTAGCCTGCTAGCGCAAATGTTGCTTGGTTCGTTCAAGATGTGACTTTACTTCAGTTGGTGCACTTTACTTAAGCTAAATTTTAATTGTGATATTGGCATTTTGTTGTCATTCATCTTAATATATTTGCATGCGAATACATGAGGATAACTCCTGTAATTCTGGAATAATTTAATACGACAAAAGCCAATACATTAAAAATGCCTGTGTGAAATGAAAATTTCCAACAGTCATCCAATTGAGTATGTAAATGTTTAGGATTTAAAATGCTCAGTCGCAAACTAGCTCAACGTTTAATACTTCCCTGTTGAACAGATGAAAACTACGCTTATCTCGCTTGTTTTGGCAATAATTTCTTAAAATGTGAGCATTATTAAATCATCCCTACTTCATAATAGTTGAAGTACACCCTGAGATTAATCAACTATCCACCACAAACACATTGACCTACTGTACTATTTTGTAGTATACCAGAACTATGCATGCATTCTAGTAACTAATGCCAAAACATTGATGCCGCGTACTATGGCTCCTGCCCCGGATGCCGTGGCGTTGTATAATGAGAAGCACTTATTCATATAAATAAATGAGTACCCAACTTTCAAGCCGAGTCAGATCCATCCTGCCACTACCCTAACAAAATTTATATAGGTACTGCGGGGGCGTGGGCCCCCACAACTCGTTGAGTTCGACGCTGCAGGTGACGTTCTGGAGCAACGACCACGACTCACGTGCGGGCTTCTTCTGTCATGTGTCTGCTGATGCTGGTGATGACCGTCCTGTCGATGGTGGTGTTCATGTTGGTGGTGCTTCTGCTGGTGTGGCTGCTGGAGTTGCAATAGCAGGTGTATATATAATAATATGAGTTTAAAAATTACTTTTTAAAGTGTTGTGTGCAAAATTTCAGATCGATTGGACAGGTAGAAGTGTGTTAAATATCGATTCTAAGATATTTAGCAGACAAACAAACAAACAACAAGAAGTGAAGTTAAAGAAGATTGCTGCAAAAATTACGGCGGAAAGCACAAATCTTGGCGAATTTATATAATATAGGTGGAAAGAGAAAGAATTAACCGGTAGAGACTTGAAAGACTGCTAGATATCATTCGCAGTAACGAGAGGAAATGTAATAAAGCAACACGATATGAAGTAACATTGAATGAAATATAATTAATTGAGGTAACTAAAAATTGTTTGCATTTTAGTTGTCATTCAAATTATGCCGGTTTATTTTCCTTGACCTCAGGCACGGCTTCCCAGCACAGGCCTCCGCCAAGCTCTAGCTTAGTTGGTGAAGGCAGCGGTAATCGTTGCAGTGAGTTCCATGAACGTACAACTACAACAGAAAACAAGAATTGGCTAAAATGTTCCTGTTTCATTATGATTTGCAACTTTTTACGATCCAATAGCCATTGAATTATGCATTAAACAACCATTTAATACGGAGTTGTAGAATTTAATATGCGTTTCACTTGCTAAAGCGCAGAGTACAGCAGAGATGCATATTTTTTTCATGACATAGTGAAATTAATATGATACCTATAAAGATACAGGAGTGTTAGTGTATTTTCAATAAGATTTTCAATTAAATACCAGTATTAATAACACTCAAAAAATATTTTCACGCACAGAATGTGGACTTCGGAACAATCCGGCCACCATCCCGAATGTATTAGGTTTTGAGACTCTCGTAGAACCTCACTCGCCCCGCTTAGACGTTGACGATCTCGACGATGACCAAAATCAACACTCAGAAAAAGGCAATCAGGCACGTAGCCTTGCAGACAGTTCGGAAGAATCAGCATTGGTTTCTCGGTTTAAAACAAATGAAATCCCAGGCATTGACCATGAAAATACGCTCAAGCCCAATATTGAGTCTACTCCATTGCCCGGGAGTTCATCAGTACTCTTAGAACAAACAGCCCTTGAAACCGACTTCAGCTTCTCAGAGTTACTCAAACCAAGTTCCACAACTTTCTCCAACGTATCTCACATCGAACATCGAGGATCGGAAGATGCTAGGCAAGTGTCATCATCTTACCCGATGTCTAAGATCGTCAGAGGTTCTGTCATCGCACCTCATGAATTTCCATGGTTGGTGCTGCTCGAGTATCCTCACCTGTCGGGTGTGCACTGCGCCGGTTCCCTCATCAGCAGTAGATATGTGCTTACTGCAGCACATTGCACGCAGTAGTAAGTATTCGCTGGTATTATTGACGTTCCCATTTATAATATAGATTAATAAATTTTCATTTTTTTCCAGTTACTGGCATGTGATACGAAATTGATTGTCGTTGAATTGCTAATCGTGGTTAACTCTCTAGTTAAAACTTTGGAGTAGTTAAATATTGCAACGCATTTGTAGATTTAAGCAATTCATGGTAGAAGGTGTGGGTTTCAATATCGTTGTTTTTTGAAAGATATAGTGCAAGACTGTCATATTTTTTGTTTCTTTATCAGTCTACTCTACCTCACAGAGGAATTGTTGCTCAAACAATTTCAAGAAAATTTTTCGGGCCACAGATGTAATATTCAAATTAAAAATCTCCCTTCAAGTCCAAACTATTTAATGACTGGAGAACTGAGTCATTCAGGACAGAGCAAAAATACCGTTTTGCAAGAGCAGGAGATAATCCATCTAAGTTTGCCTTCAATTAGACGCCTATGAATGAACCCATATTAGCGTGTCTCAATTAATTAAGTTCATGTGTCAGCTTCAACGGGCTGATGACCGTAGTGCTGGGTGAACACGACCGCAACACCCGCAGCGACACCCCACGTTACAGTATATCGAATGACATTAATACCTATGAAGTGAGACCGTCTACATCGCTGGGTGATTAATGTTGAATTTTTCAGTCGTTACAGTATATTGAATGACATTAATACCTATGAAGTGAGACCGCCTACATCGCTGGGTGATTAATGTTGAATTTTTCAGTCGTTACAGTATATTGAGTGACATTAATACCTATGAAGTGAGACCGCCTACATCGCTGGGTGATTAATGTTGAATTCCTCAGTCGTTACAGTATATTGAATGACATTAATTCTTTCGAGCGTTTTTTGCAGCTAAAAATCGTTCAATAATCCTATTATTTGATAAAAGTTTGAAACATCAACAATCATCATTTGTTTATTAAATTGGTGTTATTAATCATTGTCTAACACACATTATCGGTTGAAGTCTAATTCTTATCCTATTGGCAATTGAACCTTATCGAGAAGAATATTTTTATACAAAAATTCAATTAATATGGAATATACACTTGAATAGTTAAGATTGCGTGTTAGATTCAGCCGACAGAGATTTGGTTACTTGATTGATTAATTGGAAGCTCATTTCACTTTTATTATTTTATTGTTTATTTACTCTTATTTTTATATTGATTTATTAATTATTATTATTATTATTTATTTATTTCATCAAAGTTTATGTCTTGCATTCCATGGAATCTTAAAGATGGGGCACAACAAGCGAGGGCGATCAGCGCGGCAGCGACGTTCCTCTAGCCGCGGTCGTTCGTATCCTCGGACCTCGCGAATGTCAGCTCAAGTTTTTGAAGTACGCCATCACTGAGAATATGATTTGTGCTGACGGCAGAGGAGCTGACACCTGTCAGGTATTTCAAATGCCACCACGTGCATATGTAACCTCTCACCAAAACAAATTGTTTGAATTTTTCTTTTCCATAAATGTTTTCTTGTACGCTCAACTCTATGAGAAGCCTAGATAATAATTCAAATATTAAAAGTTTGTATTATTTCTATAAAAAATACATAACAATAAGTTTATGATTACATTAAGTTAGCAGTAAAGTGATATGTTATCACGCTGAATTACATTATGAATTTGCTCAGAACGACAGCGGAGGACCCCTGATGGCTCGGTATAAAGGATCACGCCACGTGCTGGCTGGCATCGTCTCTTGGGGTATTGGATGCGCCAGACCAAACTATCCAGGCGTCTATACACGAGTCAGCAGTGAGTTTCGTTCTGTCGAAGTAGTAGCAGTAGTAAATAGAAATGTTATTAGTAATGCCAATGGTTATTACACTAGTACTGATGCTTTGATTAGGCGAAATCGGGATTGTCGCTGATTCTTGAAATAGAAGAATTTTTACATCATGCTTGATGTTTCTCTCTTCAACTCACGGCTCCAATCTTGGTGCTTCAAACTTTAATCACTATTTCAACCCATAAAGCTTAACGACAATGAATAGAATATTTCCATATGAATCATTAGGCGTCCATTCATACGTCGTTTAACCGGAAAGCGTTACAAGTAAATACGCCATCAACTATTTTATTATTAATTTTATCACAGTGGCTGCATTTCCGGTCATGTGCGTCTGAGAGTAGCACTACTAACCAGTTAACAATACTCAGCTTAATTACGTCAGTTTTGTTACATTTCACGCTACAAGTTACTCGAAAAATCCAACCTCTACATATTCAATTATTAGCTAAGCCGAATGGCACCTCTCAGTTGAATGAATATGTGCCAGATTCATCACATAGGACTCCTACAAATATCCATGATGCTGCTGCGGTATAAATCTTAGAGTCTTTTAATGTTATTTTTGGATAAAATCAAATAACCCTCTTGTTTGGAAGAATGGAAAGTAATTCGGCTACATTGAGATGCATCCAGCCTCATTTTAGATTGTTGAGGTTTGTTTCTTTAGATCGGTTTAAATTTTTTCGCAACTTCGAACCTGTTCTCTTGAATATTATTCTCAATATCATACTGTTAATATGTTTTATGAACCTACTCGCAGATTATTTCCAATGGATCCAAGATAACACGAGAGGAGCTAGAACCTGCCCTCCTCCTGGCCGCTAGCGACGCACTGAGACAACTGTAGCGCGCAACTGCGTATTAATATAGAATATTTCCAACACGAGTGTGCAGCAGACCCCGCTCGACATTAGGGACATTTAGATTGTATAATTTAAGTAATATAATAGGGGGTTCTAATTGAATATGTCACCTACCCTAGCTAGCTAATACATGTATGAGAATAAATACTTATTGCGTTGTGAAATGCAGGCATTGGGTTCAAATAAGTAACTAAAATCTTGGCTCAATTATCCGTAGGTTTTAGTGAATATTGATGTCATCAGTAATAACTCTGGATGAATAGATTTTACTTATTAAATATATTTATGTAAACTTTGAAAGCCGTTAAAATCGTATATATTAAAAGGTACTTACAAGTTGTATCTGTATAATGTTATAAGTGCTATTTTCGGCCTATATCAAGATCTATCTTAGAGATCATTTGTAACTTACCGATTTCAACGTGTCAGAGAACAGAGATCTTCATCGCAATCAATTATTTGAATTACTTTCGGTTCGAACTCCCAAACAGAGGGATCAACCGCGAGAAATTGATACACACTTTTGTCCTGCATGCGTAAGAAGAACTATTTAGCGATAGCCCATGAGTTAAATTTAGAAGAAAGCAACCAATTTTTGTAAATATTTCGTTAAAGTAATTTTAATTAAGATTCTGACCAAAAAATAATTTTTTGCGTGCAATGCCAAAATATCAATAACAATGTACAAAAAATTGAGTTCCTCAAATAGTTCAGGGTTCTATCATTCGGTTGTATGACATTTTTGTTATAAATAAACATACATGTTAATTTTAATATAATTTTCCCCTGTTAATTTATTATTATCTTAACTAACCTTATCAAAAGGCAAAAAGGAGTGTTTTATTTCTAGTCGATTACAACCGGTCCGACACTTCAGCGAACAATTAAATAATACCGGACCATGCGGAACCTCGAGACAAGTTCATTCCGTGAGATGGTCTCGAACTCTCGATTTTCAGTCCTGGTTGACACAACGCTAGTTTCCCGATATAACGATGTCTGGTGAGTTAGATTTTTTAAATAGTATTAGATGTTTTAGGTTATGAAAACAAAGTATACGTAATTGAAAATGTAATTTAGCGTATTGTACTTTTTCTGGGGTTTTATGGAACTTTAACTGCTGATGATGATTGCTTTGCCAATTTCATCTCTGCAGCCTGCCTCTGGTCATTCTTTATTTCTTGGAATGGATTCCTCAATCTGTATCTCCAGTGTCCCACCTTCAATCCACTGACACAAGTTCTTCTTGTTCTGTGTTTTACTTAACGTTAACATCATTTTTTTTTGCAGTGAAAATGTGATTATGTGAACCTTGTTTGTTTTTATTTGTTACTATTTGACTATT